CCCTCTCGCTCTTCCCCGCAGATCTATTTCTAAGGAGCGCGGACAGACGCCCGTAGTTTGTATAGTGACAGCAGCTCCGCCTCTCCTCTGCGCTTTTCTCCCACTTAAAGGAACCTTCCAGTTTGTGCGGAGCTGGCATGGATGGAGCTGACAATTTTCTCCTCACAACAGCGGGCACCCACCCAAGCAGGACCATTACTTGTACTACACTGTGGTATTGATACTGTCTCCTACTTTTCTGCCACTGATCAAAAGTAAACGTGCTCATGACTCTGGGACATTTGGGTATCATTACAGTACTGTATTTATTAAGAAAGCTAACTTTACGTAGGACATTTCCAAACAGAAGTCATAAAATCTGCTCATGGAAAACGCGCGGAAATGTTCGCACATATCCACATTTGTCACTAATTGGCTCTGGATGGAGAAACTGCGCACACACGCTGGATGAGCTGCTGACGCACATCGAGTTACGTGGATTGATTGCTCGACTGAGCCCGGCTGCGGTCTTTGTTGATAACATTGCTGGTGTCCATACAAACCCAGTGAAATATGCAGGCCAAAAGAATGTACGCTATTTAATTCCAGTTCTGTTTGTTTCCAGCAGTGGCTGCTTGGTAGAGCATAAAGGAGACAGGGGCAGGATTAAAGCATTTCTACAGGGAAAATTAACCGAGGAGCTTTAAAACAAACTTCAAACTTAAATTATGATAGTGACTAACTTAGCTTGCGTTGCAGTCTGCGAACTATACGCAGGCTGCAGTGTGCCCCCCAGTGGTCAGTAAAGGTGCAATGAACATTTCTGGTGTAGGAATTGATGATGGGCTCGGGTCCATTTGGGTCAAGCTCCACTGAACACAGCATGGCTTCGGCTTCGGCTTCGATGTCTCCTGCGTAATCAGACCATGACCTGTTGAGCATATGACCCGTGTCCAATGAGCAGGTAGCCAAATACAACTATCTTACCTGTTGACTTTGTTCTGCCCTGAGTCATTGGCCCTGCTCTTTGTCAAGAAGAAAAGCAGGATGTTTCTCAGAGAGCTCAGCTCTTTGAAAAACCCTGGTTCCATTGATACATGACTGAACATTTTGTGCTGGAAAGGTCGACCAAACAACTACAAGGAGACGCAAAAGAAATAGAAAGAGAAAAGAGAAAGGGATGGTTTTACATCTCTTTTGTTATTTTGTCTCTTTGTGTTTGCTTTTTGTCTTTGTGGTTGTTTTGTAGTCTTTTAGTGAATCTTTGTGGTTGTTTTTCATTTTGTTGTCATTTTATGCCTCATTGTTGTTTTGAGTCTCTGTGGTTGTGGCTGCCCCTGGCTATCCCTTTGGTCCTGTCCCTGCTCTCAGCATACACCCACAACACTTTGTCATCATGCCATAACTGACATGGTGACTGATGGATTGGTTAATTACATATACGGTCACTCAAAAGAAGAGGGAAGAAAAGTAGACTAAATGATGTAAGAACACGAATATTTCAAACACGCAAAAAATAGCTTCAGTGCAATTTCAGAAGAATTTACTGACAGAGCCCAGCCCTTTAGTGTAGGAAGTCAGATGTTAGTTTTATTGGAAGCATCAGGTTTGAACTTGTAGAAACTTTAGTAACAGTTGAATGCTTCAGCACAGAAAAATGAGTGAACTCTTCAGGCTGATTGTGCCTGGAGTTAAAGAGCTGTCCAGACAGAGAGCCAGCACAGCATAGATCAGAGGTTTCAATTACTGAATAATTTTAAAGTGAAAAATTCTTTAGAGCAGGCATTGTACATGACGTATAGTTCATCTGAAGGGCAACAGAGACACTACTACTGATCCTGGATATACTGTATATTTAGTCTGATTTGCAGTAATTGTGTGACAAATTTTAATGTACTGTCAAGCAAAATATATAAGGTCACTCAACTAAGTGGATAATTGTATTTGTGGAGTAGAAGTGTAAAGTAGCATAAAAGAGAAATATGCTACTCAAATTGTACAGTACTTCAGTGGGCTTAAATGCATCTTTCTACCACGTCTCCTACTTCACTATGAAGTTTTTAAAGCAGTTTGTTTCAGGTTTCTACATCATATCTGTCTAAACTGAATATTTAACCACGATTGTCTTTGAAATTCACAAGGCCATACATACACATTTTAAACTGAGTTTTAAGTGGAACAAGCAGAAACTTCCTTCTTTGGTAGATCGCCAAGAAAACATTAGTCTGCACAGTGAATGATTCTTTTTCTTC